CATAGGCAGCTGCAATGCTTAGGACTCCCTGCATCCCTTCCCAGGAGATGGGCCCTGTAGACAGAGGCCTGCTCAGTGATGCCTGGGGAAATTCAAATACACATAACCAGATACCTGGCATGCGTCTGATGCAAAATCCATTTTGTGAAATAGAATAAATAAAGGTCTCTTGGGCAAATTCCAGCAGGATTTAGTTAATCCTTGTATTTCTACCTCAAGAAAATTGTGGTAACATCAGATTTCAATCATTATGTTCCAAAAATAAACCTTTCTAGGGGAAATTTTTCAGAGACTTTTGTCCATATATGTACATGCACATGCACATACACATTTCACATGCAATTCCTTATTTCTCCTTTTTATTGTCTTTCACATCATGCATCTCCATCCCATTCATTTCCCCATTCCTTCGTATCCACCTCTGCCCTTGAAACCTCCCTGGCCTAAATATAATTTAAGAGAAAAAGAAAAAAAGAGCGTTTACTTTCTCCCTCTCCCTCTCTCTCTTCCCCCCTCCCTCCCCCTCCCTCTCCCATTCCCTCTCTCTCACTCTCCCTCTCCCTTCCCCCCTCTCCCTCTCCCTCTCTCTTATCTCTCTCTCAGCTCTGCATGGGTTGGTTACCCCTCATCCCAGTCCTTCCCTGTCCACCATTAAAACTCCACGTGGGACCATTGACTCACGGTTTGTGTGTCGTGACTGGGTAAACCTAGAAATTTTAACATTGGTTCCCTGACCGAGACAGGCTCTCCCTGCAACAACTCGCTGCTGGCCAGCATGAGCACGCAGGTAACCTGCAACTTTGAACCAATGGCCCACTTTCCATCGACCCGAACGCTCGATTTTGCATCCAACAGTGGCTACGATTTGCTTTTTATAACAGAGACAGGCCAGCTGCTGGCACCACCCCATTTCCTCCAAGAAGACTGGTGGACACTAAAGAAACTCCGCCCACAAAAGTGGCAACGCTGGCCACTAAGCAACCCTGCCCTTCACCTCAACTGCTTCAAAGGACTCTTCAGGCCATAAACAAGAGGACACTGGAATTGACTTTCTCCACGTTGCTTAGGTCAACGGTAGGAAAGCCTTCCTAAAAAGTCCCCAATCTACAGGTCTCACTATCAGAAAAAGGCAGATGTCTTTGGAGCTTCTGACTTCAACAACTGTGGAAGACCTTGAGGGTGGCTGTCCATGCAGTCAATTAGTAAGTCTCTCATTCTCCAATCTCAGGTAAAATATTATCCTTCTCAAGAACTTCTGATGCTTTTGATGGCTGGTAGCTTTGCCAGCTTAAAGTAACAGACAGGCAAAGCTCTGTCAAAACAGATTTCAGGAACAGGTATTCTAAGGTTTATCTACATAAGATAGTAATGTAATAAAGTTGAGACATTAAAAAAATAGTATGTTCCAGGTTTCTCTTTCATTATACTACTATTCATAGTCTTAACATTAGTCAATAAAGTTCTGATAAGCTACTAATCTAACTCCAACAGAGTACTAAACAACTATGCCACTATACAATCAAAACTATAAGCTCAAAATTAAGGTACTTTTCATTGTGTTAAAAAAATGTCAGTTTTAAAAATGTTAATGCTTTCAGCCAAGTCTTTTCTAACACAAATGTGCTGCTGATTATGTCTAATACTTGTTTTCACAAACTTAAAGGATTCATGTAAGTTCCAGGAAGCCAAATTGGACCCATCCAAACAGGTCAGATTCACTCCAGTTATTATTCAACCTCTCACTGGTCCCGGGATTCCCTTCCCTCATCATGGGAACCCTCAGGAACCCCTCCCTCATCTTACAATCTTCCCCTCAAATACCAGGACCTGAGAAAAAAAATCCTTAACCTAACTTTGTCCTCTACTCTGCTACCATCTTGCCAGATCTACAGAGATGCCAGAGTTCCAGACAGCCAAGACTACAATGGAACAACCAGCAACTCCAGATGTGGCAACACCCCAGCTTTCTCAGGTTCCCCCAAAGATGATTGACGCCCCCAGGTCAGCAGGAAGTAGTCTTAAGAACTCAACGTCCTTGATCCCTAACCTGCCACGTCTAACACCCCCACCTCTTTTTAATCATAAAGGTGGGAATGAAAGGTTCAGGCATTACGCTGGCCTGCCCTGTTACCTGGCAGGATGCACTCAGGCAACACTCTGGCCAGCCCAGAGATCTGTGAGAACCATGCAGGTGCAAAGCACCCCTTTAAAGGACTGACCCCTGCCCGATTACACTTTTACTTTTACTTTCTCTCTTATGCTCATCATCTCATCCTCCCTCCCTCCCTCCCTCCCTCCCTCTCTCTGTCATATCTTATCTCTCAGCTCTGCACGGGTTGGTTACCCCCCATGCCCCTGTCCTTCCCTGTCCACCAATAAAACTCCATGTGGGCCCGTTGGAAAAAAAAGAAAAAAAGAGAGAAGGGAAAAACCAATCTCATCATAGAAGCTGTAGAGTGGCAGTGAGTCAGGCAGTAAATCCTTTTATCCATATCTCTTTACTTGCAAGTCACACACACTTTTTTTATTCTTGTTTTTTAGAAACAATCATTTTACATATCAATCCCCCATTCCCTCTCCCTCCCACCCTCCCATGCCCCCTACCAACCCCCCTAACCCACCCCCCACCCACTCCCCAAGGACAGTGAGGCCTTCCATGGGGGATCAAGCAAAGTCTGTCACATCATTTGGGGGAGGGCCTAGGCCCTCCTCCGTGTATCTGGGGTGAAATAGTATCGCTCCACAGGGAATAGGCTCCCAAAGTCCATTTGTGCACTAGGGATAAATACTGGTCCCACTGTTAGAGGACCCATAGACTGCCCAGGCCTCCTAACTGGCTCCCACATTCAGAGGGTTTGGTTTGGTCCAAAGCTGGTTCCCCAGCTTTATGACTGGGATCCAATTGCTCTCACTAGGTCAGGTCAGCGGGTTATGTGGGTTTCTCCATCACGGTCTTGATTTCTTTGCTCATCCCTCCTCCCTCTCTACAACTGGATTCCAGGAGTGTGGCTCAGTGTTTAGCTGTGGGTGCCTGCTTCTGCTTCCATCAGCTACTGGATGAAGGCTCTAGGATAGCAATTAAGGAAGTCATCAATCTCATTATAGGGGAAGAGCAACAAAGGCAGTCTCTCCACTACTGCCTAGACTCTTAGTTGGGGTCATTTCTCTGGATCTCTGAACATTTCCCTAGTGCCAGATTTCTCTTTAAACCTACTGGCTCCCTCTATTGAGGTATCTCTTTTCTTGTTCTCCTCTATTCCTCCCCTGTCTCAGTCTTCCTGATTCCTCTTGTCCTTCTCCTCACTCCTCTTCTCCCCTTCTCTTTTTCCTATCTTCCTCCCTTCTTCCCCCATGCTCCCAATTTGCTCAGGAGTTCTTATCCCTTTCCCCTTCTTCAGGGGATCATATATTTTTCTCTTAGGGTCCTCCTTGTTTTCCTAGTTTCTCTGGTCACACACACACACACACATAATTCTAATCACATTCTTACATACAGTGAAAATTTGAGAAGAAATTCTTACCTCTCACTGCAAATTCAAGATTCTTCTATCTATAAAGCAAGTAAGAAAACTAAGAAGAATAAACCAGAAATGAAAGACAAATACACTAGTATTATAAAGATACAAAGTATAGTAACAGACTAATTTAGACAATCACATAACTACAATTTGAATAACCTAGAAGAAATGGATAAATTCTTAAGAACCTACAGTCTACCAGGATTGAATCAGAAATAGAAACCTGACCAGACCAAAAACAAGGAGATTGGACCAATGATGTAAAAACTCATCATTTTTTTTCTTTTTTTGAGACAGGGTCTCTCTGTGTAGCCCAGAATAGCCTTGAACTCAGAGATCTTCCTGCCTCTGCCTCCTAAGTTATAGGACTAAAAGCATGCACCAACACGTCCAGTCCCTGCCCCCCCCTTTTTTTTAAAGATCTTTAATTTATGTGTATACTCAGGTATGAATTTGTGTTGGAAACCCTGAAATTCTGACCTGGGAGCTGGGAACCAAACTCAGGTTCTTTGGAAGAGAAGCAAGTACTCTTAACAGCTGACCCTTTTTTTTTTTAATTAATAACCCACTGGGTCCAATTAGTGCTGCCATACACACACAGGTGGGGTTATCCACTGGCATATGCATAACCTGCTGGCAACCCATAGCCCTAATAAAGGTAACTTTGCCTCCACTGAGAGCCATCCCTAGGGGTAGGTTTCAGAAATCACTCCTCCACCCATGTAGGATGGCTGACTGGCTTAATGTCATACAGTCCTTGAGCAGGCAACCACGCTGCTCAAGTTCATTTGTGCAACATCCCTGTCCTGTTCAAACCACATCATTTCCTAGCTCTCCTCCTCATCCTTTTACATTCTTTCCCTCCATCCCCTGTTCCTTGAACCTGGAGATCAGGTGGTTGACATAATGACCCATCCATCGCTGGCACATTCATTAGCTTTGGTCTTAAATTAAGAGGCATATTTAATTCTATTATATAAACACAAAAAAGTACTATGAAATGAGAGCACTTGTCAGGAATATCTCATCCCACTCATTCATCTCTTACTTCTGAGAATTTAGAGCGCAATCCATTTGTTTAGGCTGAATATATACACCGCTTGCATTAACAAAATATGCTGATCACATATGAGGAATGGCAGAATGTACCACAAGGGCAGGAACTTTTGTATATACTGTTCATTGTCATCCACAAAGCATCTAGAGCCACAACTGGCTTGCATCTGCTTGACAAATGTCTGCTGAATGAATGACTCTGGAGAAGTAATTTTGGTAGACTGAAAGAAACTACTGCAACATTAATGGCTGCCTTACAGCCTTGGAAGAGCTTCACCATGTTACATCACCATCTTCCCAGATTACCCATACATATATAAAAACACCTCAAAAGAAAGAAGAGAATCTCTTTTACACTATAAAATGACATATTGTCACAACAGAAACAAAAATAGACAGCCTTGAGGAAAAAACTGTAAAACAATATCTCAGTATAATTTTATTAGTAGCTTTTACATAAAATTCCACTTATAAGATCCAAAGGACTGTCTTAGAAAATTCAAAAGCATATTTAATTAGATTTTAACAATAAGAACTTAAAAATTATATTACAGTCCTTAAAATCAAAGACTAAAATTAAATGCAGTTCTATCGAGAACTAAAATTGAACTCTGTGTGCATAGTATCACTTAAAGTTCCATGAAAATATAAAATATTTCTATGAATGTGACTATATCTGGGGCAAACATCATTGACTTCAAAACCTGACACTAAAGGAATTTCTGATCAACACATCCAAAGAGGCTTCATCTAGTAAGAGCTATGGCAATTCCATCCAGAGAGCCTGAATCCTTAGGTGGCTATGATACGACATGCTGTTGCGACAGTGGTATAAAACATCTCTACGCACAGTTAGGACACACTCTGACATCGGGATCTTTTACACAGAGCTTTATCTACATCACAGAACTGTTTTCAAGCCAAGGACAGACTGCTCACTGCTGATCCACTGAAACTCTACGGCCTCCATCTTGAGCAGTATTGTAGGAGTCACAAACCTTACATTTCATGCCTAAGATATGGAATTGGACTGTGGATCGTCTATTACAGTCATTGCAGAGAATCTGAAAAATGAAGAGTAAAAACGTAAGCCTTGTAACTACAAGTGGCACAGTTTGTATTAACAATCATTTGAGAGTCATTTAAAGGTATGAAACACACATGTATGTCAAACATATCTGCAGTGAAAATGGCTTTTCTCTGATGAATATTGTAAAGGTGATTAAGGTAGCTTTGAGTTTAGAAGATATGAATCTGATCACAGAAGACTCATCTTAAAATACTTCCTAAAAGTATATAAAATACAAGCAAGAAAATTAACAGACATATTCAGATCTCATACTCATCATTAGACAAACAATACTTAAAATATAAAATAACACATAACTTCATTATTTTCACTAGCACTCAGAATTTATCTTAATAAAACTGAAATTTTTATAGACTGGAATATTTTTGTGTAATTCTGGCAATGAATCAAGAGCCAGAACACGTTCTAAATGAGTAAAGCCAGAGAGCCTCTTGCTAGCCCCTAACACGATAAGAACTTTATGTCTTCTGGTGTTAAGACACTGAAGGCTCACAGTGTGCATCTGAGAATACATCAACATGCAATTCCATAGCAGTCTTAGCATATGCACATCACATCATAAGCAAAAAATTCCACTGGTTCTTCACATAATTTGGAAAACTACTCCTTTTAAAATACTACTGAAAGGTAGAGCGTAGATACTAAGAAGTGACTTCTAGTAGCTAGTGTTGAGGATTTTTTTGTTGTTTGGCTTTCTCTCTCTGTGTGTGTGTGTGTGTGTGTGTGTGTGTGTGTGTGTGTGTGTGTGTGTGTGTGTGTGTGTCCATCCGTGTCCCCATGTCCATGTGGTGATACACATGGAGACCTGAGGTCAATGCTAAATGTCTTTCCTTCACTGCTCTCCACCTTCATTTTTTGAGACAGCCCCTCACTGAACATAAAACTCAATGATACAGCTAGACTAGCTGACTGGCCAATGACTTTTAGGGACCTTTCTACCTCTACCTCCTTAAGGACAATGTTACAGGCATGTAGTGGCCATGCCTAGCTTTTTCCATGTGTTCTAGATATCCAAACTCAGGTCGCTGTGCTTGGATGGCCGACAGTTTACCAATGTGCCATCTCCTCAATCCTGGGCATAGGGCTTCTTTACAAGTGACAAAAATATTTTAATATTGTGGTACTGTTTGTACAGTTTCATAAATGTACTAAAAGTCACTGAATTGTATACTTTTAAGGAATGAGCTCCAATGTATGTGAGGAAAAAAGCATCTATATGAACACAGTAAACTTTAACCTTTAATAAACATCCCAATTATCATATAGTATCTAAAGGAGCTTCCATTGTCCTTAGTAACAATTTTGTTACCAATATTAATTTTGGAACTTTCCAGTGTGAATAAACCAGAAAGGGTTTTATTGTCTCTTTCTCTGTGTGCTACATATCCAACATTAAAATAGTTATTTGGCTTTGTTTCATCCTTGTGTTCTAAAGTACTGTAGACAATCAGAATATTTATATGTTCAAAAGTTATGAACGCATCAGAAAGCTATTTAATTTTCCAACTCTGATTTAAACTCAATACTATACTTAAGCTACAAGGCAGTCCCTCTCAATTCTCTGTAGAGCCAAAGAATAAGCTAATTGAGACCAAATAAAGTCTATGACAAAATACAATAGGCAGTAAATATTAAAACCCAAAAGCTAGCTTTCATAAACCAGAAAATACATTCTCTTGAAACAAAATTTTGAATAATTTAAGTGAAACACAGGTCAAATAAAACATCAGTGATCCACTTTGACTCTGCCAAAAATTCATAACAAAGTTTTTGTCTGCCATCTAGTGTTGAGGAAAAACTACACAAAGGTATTCTTAGGATTTTGTCTCCCCACAGTCTGATATCAATATAAATATTTTTTAAATAATTTGTCCTTTGCTTTAATTAATTACAATGGCATTCTGTCAAAACAGTAATTTTGGGACACATTTAAACAAAAAGGCAAAAATAAGAAAGAATATCAGCAAGAAATCTAAAACGTTCTAAGCATGGATTCTACTCACATCCACAGTCACATTCTGGTATTCCGATGGCATGGGAGTCTGGGCTACCTCATTATCCAATTGTCTCCAGTACCGAGTCATATCTAAGGCAGAATGCATACACAGTGGACATCTGTAGCCTCTGCAAGAGACAGTAAATAGGATCTATATACAAGAAGACAAAAGCTCACTGGCACATAAACCAAACAGGATAGTATTCTACTTTTCAAGTTAATTTCTCAGGAACCTGAAAATCTATGCAATATATATATATATATATATATATATATATATATATATAATTCTGTCTTATGATACTTTTAAATCCTAAGTCTTAATCATCAACTCTCTAAAATGGAGAACTAGTCAATATTCTTTGTAGGACTATGTCTTAGTAATATCAATTAAACCATTCATTGGCTAAACAACTTTAATTTCTTAGAACACTGATGCAAAGAATTTGTATTCCTTAAAAATTATTCCAATCATATTGCTACTTTTCTAAAATTTTTCAGAAGTTGCTACATTTCTACTCTTTCCTATTTCTCGTCTTAATTTATCTCCAGTTTTAAAGAAAATACACTGGTTTTCTTTGTAGTTCATTGTTGGATCAATATACTGAACTAAAAAAATATGGACACTGTTCCTCAGTGATTAATTTAGTAGCAACTATGTTCCCCAGGATACAGGACTAGAGACAAAAGGTTCTGCCTGTCTCAAGCTATGGGAGGAAACGGGCATGATAAGGGCATGGACAGACATACAGACCTGTTCCCCAAGATGCCACGGCCAACTACACACCAGTTATCTACTCTACTCGCCTCAATATGTGTATCTGTCATACCCAAAACAGGGCACCTAACCACCATGTTTGCCCACCTCCCTACCACCCTTCTTAATTCCACCAAAAACTCACTCTTTTAACATTTCTTCATAACACGTTCTGAAAGAAAATAGAACATTGTTTTAGTAAAAGAAAAACTACCTCCATTATTTCCAAATACCTCTGAGCAGGAAGAAAGTTATCTTACCTATGTAAGAGATGCCCGCACGGCAAGACGTGAGCAACAACGCGGGAGGTGTGAATGTCCTAAAAGGAGAAAAAGTAGTTAGTGCTGCATCAAGACACCAGCAAGAGACTGCCAAAGTGAAAAATATTCCACACTCACCTCCAAGCATATTGGACAATTCTGCCGAGAAACATTTTCAATACACTGTTTAAAGGAGAATCTAACATTAGCAAAAGCATCAACTATAACAGCATTAATAAAATTAATTAATTAATTAATTAAACTGACTAGAAGAGCCAGTGAGCTGACTCACTTGCCATCAAGCCTGAGGACCTGAGTTTAATCCCTGGCAGCCAGATGCTGGAAGGAGAGAACCCACTCCTGTAAGTGGTGCTCTGACCTCCTCATGTGCACTACTAAAAGGTGGAGTTTGTTAGAATCCCAGCAGTTTGAGGTTTTTAGCATGGCAAGACATGTCTAATTATATAGACGGAAATAAGGATAAGCACCAAGATGACTCCTTGTTTTTAATGGAAGCCAGAACAATGAATAATAACTAAGAATTTTTTTAAAAAAACAAACAAAAGAGAGCGCATATGTGCATGCATATATATCTTTATAAAGGCAGTTTAATGCAAAGAAAAATTCTCCAAAACAAATCAATTGAAAGATCTGGGTCATAATCCCAGCTCTGCCGTTATGACTCATTGAAATTTTAGACAAGCTAGCACTTTTCTCTGTTTATAAAATAAAGCTAATACGTATTTCATTTTGGTTCTCAAGTACATTCCACAAACCCACATACCTTAACATCTATGTAATTAGGACATTCCTGACAATTAATGCCATCGCTGAGTGAATTAAATTCAAATGAGATGATCATGCAATGGGCTGGCTGTGTGTATACACACGTGCACATGTGTGTACACAAATGTATTCTATATATGGAAACCAGAACGGAGCCAAAGAAATACAATTCATGAGGCTACTGACTCCAGGCTATCTTCATTTGCCTGTGCATTTAATTTTTTTAATTTAATGACTTTTATTTATCTTGAGACAAGGCAAGTGAGCCATGATCTTGCATGAGCCACAACCCCACCAGCTTATCTTGTTATCACCCCAAAATTTTTAAAGTCAAACTCAATCTTTAACAAACTCACGTTCTGTTTATCGAATTCCTTTAAGCTAAGACTAAGTATCTTGGGAGTTATCTTTACTCAGCATCACTCTAATTCTGAGTTATCATTTCTTAATGTTAGATATTCATCCTAACTTTCTTTACTACTCCTCTATGTCTGTATGTTCTCTGTCCCTGTCTCTCTTTCTCTCTCTCTTTCTGTGTGTGTGTGTGTGTGTGTGTGTGTGCGTGTGCGCGCGCGCACTCATGTCTGTTTCATCTTCAGACAGGTTTTTATCAGCCTCTTATGGAATGTCCTGTACTTTCATACTTTGCTCTGTTGATCCTCCATTCTTTACATTCTTACAGTAGACAGAATCACCACTATAGGTACAATGTTTCATTAGATTATTTTTAAATAAGAGAGAGGATCTGAGATTACATTAAAATTCCTATATCCACATTTATAAGTCTTAAGTATGAAATGAAATGTAAAGAATACTCTAATTATTCTTAGAACACTGTATAAAAGTTATATTTCTTAGCATTTTCCCTTTTAAAGTTAATCTTAGAAGCAGTATTAATATGGTAATAATCTATGAACCAACAGAGAAGCTGCCAGCAGTATGTTAATATCTGCTATAAGCATTCTTACGTTACAGAAAACAAAATGTAGATCATATGTTCTCAGGCACATATTTTAGATTATCTACTTAATTCTGCTTTTTAGAAAAGCAAAAAACATAATTGCAGTTGCTAATATATGAAAATTAGCATGCTTCCAAACACACTACAATTTAAACTGGCTTTCAAAAACACTAACAGTTTTTAAATCATGCGAAATGAATCATATACCTTATGTTTTCCTCGAAGATTCATGGCAAGGCATAAATTACACTTCAAGCAGTGGAAAAAATCTTCCTTTGGACCAATCCTATCAAAACATAACATGAACACCAAAAGATTATTTTTAGTACATGATAATTTGTTCACTATATAATACCCAAACTCAGCCCCACTGTAAAAATACTAAAACCACACTGAAGAATATGGAGGAACCTCCATCTTTCCAGTGTCAGAGGTAACCACCACAGCAGACTGACATTTCTGTCAAGGTGACTATAGATGCATAGGACAGATGCCCACAATTTGAGCTTTATTTCTTACACAATTCTACAGATGCTGTTCTGCAACTTATTTAACACTTAGTAATCTATCCCAAGGATTGTGTCTGTCTACTGAAAACTACTTCAGTCTTCATAGCGACACAGCAGTCATACAGTATGGATGTATCATAACTTTCAAAATATTTCCTTATTGATAAAATGCACAATCTTTCTTGCTACAATGATATAATAAAAAAAGCTCAGCTAGCATTTAACCCATATTTAGATTATATTTTCTAGTATCCCTAAAAGTGACACTATTGAGTCAGAGAGCACTGGTTCATTTACTGTAATACTGACAACTTGACCCTCTAAAGACTGCTAATTTACATTCCCATATGCATGAGCCATGTTCCTCACAACCTGGACAACACGGGCACATGTATGATAGATAAAAAATGCTATCCTAACTTTCATTTCTCAATTATAAAGACTATTCCTTAATGCTAAAGAACTGTTCAGATTTCTGTGAATTTTCTGTTGACATGCCCTGCTCATTTCTCCACCTGGGTATTTGTCCTTCACCAACTTAAAAGCAGCTTTATACTGCTTTTATAGAAATATATTCATCTTTCTAATTGTGTGCTACTGATGACTTCTCTGGTCTGTTGTCCATCTCCTCATAAAGATCCATCATTACTGTCTACGTAGTAAAAAGCCATCAGGGGCTTGAGAAATGGGTCAGTGGTTAAGACATATGCTGTTCTTACAGAGACCCACATTCAGCTCCCAACACTCATGGTAGGCAGCTAACAACCGCCCATACTCTAGTCCAGGGAATCTGACCTCTACTCTCCATGGTCACCTACATTCACATTCACACGCACACACAATTTAAAATAAAAGCAAAACGTAAGCCGGGTGGTGGTGGCGCACGCCTTTAATCCCAGCACTCGGGAGGCAGAGGCAGGCGGATCTCTGTGAGTTCGAGGCCAGGCTGGACCGACAGCCTCCAAAACAATACAGAGAAACCCTGTCTTGTAAATACCAAAAAAAATAATAATAAAATAAAATAAAAGCAAAAAGTAAAACTTAAAGGCCATCAGTATTTTCCTTTATGGCTTATGCTTTTTGCCCATTATTTAGGAAAAACTTCTGTAAACTGCAGACCATAAATATACTCCCTTTTGTATATGTTAACACTTAAAATAACTTGTTTTTATATTTTCTTTAAGTTGAAGTTCATTATTAAATTTATAATATGAATGGTAAAGATAAGATTGCTAGTTGGTCCCTACATTTCTATTCATTGCTTCTTTTACAATAAAACATTTACTTAAAAGGCAGTTATTCAGACCTATCCTGAAAATGACAATTTCCCAGCTTCTTTGGAGGTTATGAAAAGAAAATTAAAATTTTCTTGTATGAGAAGAAAGAGTTCTATGAGATGACTCAGCAAGTAAAGGCACTACCAGCAGGCCTTTAGTTCAACCCCTGAAACTGAGTAAAAGAAGGGAATAGACTCCTTCCAGCAATCCCCTAGCTTCCACATGTATACCATGGCACACAAATGGAATGAATGAATGAATGAATGGCAAACGGAAATTATTTTTTAATAAAGGGGAAACAGCATACCTCCTCCTCACAGATCTAATCATTTCCCCCTGCTCAGAATATGAGCCCAAAGAATCAAACAGGAAAACACCAAGAGTCAGAATGTGGAGAGGATGTTACATCATTTAACTACCTGAGTCAGACTTTTCCACAGGAAATAAAATTCAGCCTTTCATGAACCACTAATGAGTTTCCGTCACAAAAAGTCATATGATAATGAATACACACATTTCAAATTTGAGTTTTTATTTTCCAAATAGGTTATCAATTAACTTTTTTGTGTTTTGAAACAGGGTTTCTCTGTATAGTCTTGACTGTCCTGGAACTAGCTCTATAGACCAGGTTAGCTTTGAACTCAATGAGATCAGTCTGCCTCTGCCTCCCAACTGCTAGAATTAAAGGCGTGATATCAATTATCTTACCTTTTCCCAATTTAGAATATCACTTTTGCTTCTGACTCATATTCATAAATACCTGATCTTTCCACTACAGCAGAGGACTCAATACATTTAAAAGTAACATAAAAAGTTATAGTGAGAGGATAATTTCAACTGTGCTGCAAATGCACGGACAGACTTTAGATTCCCTTTTAGTAGTTCTGTTATTCAAAATAACAGTGGCTGGAAAGGTGGCACACACCTGAAATCACCGCCCTTGGACACCTGAGTCTGAGGTCAGCCTAAGCTACACTAGGACTCTGTCTCAAAACAAACGAAAAGGAATCTTTAACAGCACACATTATTTCTGAACAGAGATAGCATCTATCAATCTATGCAACAGGCTTTACTTCTCATATCTTTTAATAAATCTTTGAAAAACCAAGTTCTGTAAACCCTCTAGATGAATCTTCAGTGTGTCATAGGCACCCCTTAAAGCAACTACTGAGGGGCTAGGGCAACAACTGCTCTTCCAGAGGACCTGGGCATGGCTATATATTATTCATGATTTTTTAAAGCTTGCCTGAGGGTACAGAAAGCAAAGCTAGCCACAAACCATAGAGCCAGGCAATGGTGATACACAGCTTTAATGCCAGTCATACTAGACAGTCATAGAGCCAGGCAATGGTGATACACAGCTTTAATGCCAGTCATACTAGACAGTCATAGAGCCAGGCAATAGTGATACACAGCTTTAATGCCAGTCATACTAGACAGTCATAGAGCCAGGCAATGGTGATACACAGCTTTAATGCCAGTCATACTAGACAGTCATAGAGCCAGGCGGTGGTGGTACACAGCTTTAATGCCAGTCATACTAGACAGTCATAGAGCCAGGCAATGGTGATACACAGCTTTAATGCCAGTCATACTAGACAGTCATAGAGCCAGGCGGTGGTGGTACACAGCTTTAATGCCAGTCATACTAGACAGTCATAGAGCCAGGCAATGGTGATACACAGCTTTAATGCCAGTCATACTAGACAGTCATAGAGCCAGGCAATGGTGATACACAGCTTTAATGCCAGTCATACTAGACAGTCATAGAGCCAGGCAATGGTGATACACAGCTTTAATGCCAGTCATACTAGACAGTCATAGAGCCAGGCGGTGGTGGTACACAGCTTTAATGCCAGTCATACTAGACAGTCATAGAGCCAGGCAATGGTGATACACAGCTTTAATGCCAGTCATACTAGACAGTCATAGAGCCAGGCAATGGTGATACACAGCTTTAATGCCAGTCATACTAGACAGTCATAGAGCCAGGCGGTGGCGGCACACACCTTTAATCCTAGGACTCAAGAAACAGGCAGATGGATCTCTGTTAGTTCAAGGTCACACTGAGCTACACAAAATTGATCCAGTCTTAAAGAGAAACAGCTCACTCAAAGGTGATCTCAGTACTTGGGATCATGTACCTTTAATGCCATGATATGAGAGGTATAAAAGGAAGAGGCAGCAGTCTGGGATTGCAGTCTGAGGTTTGGTGAGAGATCTATTCTCCAGCCACACTGAGGACAGGACAGCCCTTTCAGCCTGAGAAAGAGGAAAGAGCTAGTGGCCAGCTGCTTTGCTTCTCTGATCTTCAGCTTGAAGCCTGAACCACAGTATGAATCTCTGGGTTTTTATTAATCATGCTACACCTGGGTTCCATTATCAAAATCTACATGGCAGCTCACAACCATCAATAACTCCAGTCCCAGGGGATCTGATGCCCACACATGGGGTGTAGCCAAAGCACCCATACACACCAAATACATAAAAATTTAAATAAAAAATCAACTACTGAGTCAGGCACAGAGGTGCACCCCTTTAATTCCAGTACTCAGGAGGCAGAAGCTAGCAGATCCGGCCCTGGTATATAGAGTAAGTTCTAGGCCAGGGGGCCATATACTGAGACCCTGTCTGAAATATATAAATATATAATTCCACAATTACTAAATAGACACGTCAAAAGACTTTTTTAAAAAGTGTAAACATCTACTAAATAGTTGAAGTAATCATAACCATTCACCTCAAACACAAGTCACATGATTCTGATGCCCAGTAACATAAAAATGAAAACATTTTCCATTTAAGAATTTTATTAATTTATTTACATTTCAATCCCAGTTCCCCCTCCCTCCTTTCCTCCCACTCCCCCTACTCTTCCTCCACCTCCCATCTGTTCCTAAGAGAGGGTAAGGCCTCCCCTAGGAAGTCTACTAAGCTTGTCCCATCATCTCATTGAGGCAGGACCAAGGCTCCTCTCCACTCCCACACCCCTGTATCTAGTCTGGACAAGATATCTCTCCATATAGAATGGGCTCCACTAAGTCAGTTTGTGCATTAGTGTTAGATCTTGGATCCACTGCCAGTAGCCTCATACATTGTCCCAGTCACACCATTGTCACCTATATTATGGGAATTTAGTTCAGTCTTATGCAGGTTCCCTATTTGTCAGACCTGAGCTAGTGATCTCTCACTAGCTTGGGTCAACTGAGTCTGTGGGTTTCCTCATCACGGTCTTGACTCCTTTGTTCATATTTCTGTTCCTCCCTCACTTTGATTGTACTCCAGGAGCTTGACCCATTGGTTAGTTGTGGATTTCTGCATCTGCTTCTATTTGTTTCTGGAAGAGGGTTCTAGCTTCTCTGGGGTTCTGGATTGTAGGCTGGGTATCTTTTGCTTTATGTCAGTATCCACTTATGAGTGAGTACATAATATATTTGTCTCTGACTCTGGGTTACCTCACTCAGGGTGTTTTTTTTGTTTTTGTTTTTGTTTTTTTTCTAGTTCTGACCATTTGCCTGCGAATTTTAGGATGCCATTGTGTCTTACTCCTGAGTAGTACTCCACTGTGTAAATATCCCACATTTTCTTTATCCATTCTTCAGTTGAGGGGCATCTAGGTTGATTCCAAGATCTGGCTATTACAAATAATGCTGCTATGAACATAGTTGAGCAAATGTCCTTGTGGTGTGAATGTGCCTCCTTTGGGTATAGGCCCAACAGTGGTACTGCAGGGTCTTGAGGTAGGTTGATCCCTAATTTTCTGAGAAATCACCATGACTTCCACAGCAGCTGGACAAGTTTGTACTCCCAACAGCAATGAAGGAGTGTTCCCCTTTCTCCAAATCCTCTACAGCATAAGCTAAGAATTTCTTAAATACTACTTCAGATTATTCACACCTTAGTTCCCGTATGATAAGGACTATGATAAACTTAAAAGCACAATATTCTTAGAGATCTGTTAAGTATGGTAGAAATAACTGAAAGGACACTACAGAAAAATCACCACTATTTGAAGTTTTCTTTTTGTACTGCTCAAAGCATTACATCACCTACTACAAAGCATTACACCATCTATTACGAAGTTTACATCATCTATTACTGCTAGTATTCAGGCATCTATACTGGCCTGTACTTGGGGTTCTGATAGAACACACCCTCAGCAGCAGCCACAAAGAGCACCACCTGTGCACATTCACTACGTTCCCTTTTAAAAGAGCCCTGCCACTGCCCATCCTTCTCTTTTCTCTCTCTTCCCTCTTCCCTCTTCCCTCCCTCTCTCTCTCTCTCTCTCTCTCTCTCTCTCTCTCCCTCTCTCTCTCTCTCTCTCTCTCTCCCTCTCTCCCTCTCTCTCCTCTCTCCCTCTCTCTCCTCTCTCCCTCTCCCTCCCTCCCTCCCTCTCTCTCTCTCTCTCTCTCTTTCTCTCTCTCTCTCCCTCTCTCCTCTCCTGCTGCTCCCATCCCAAAGGCAGGTCTCTCTCCTCTTTCCCTTTTTATGATCCCTTTCCCTAATAAAAAAATGCTGCTTGAACCCTCTTCTCCAATGGAGTGTTCTCTCAAGCACTACTTTTCTTAAATTACAACAATTACAAAGGTGTTTAAGTATGAAGACACCTTTGTAGACTTTTTCAGTTTTTCATCCAAAATGTAAAAAGTAAAATAAAAAAAGATAAATGAAGAGGCACACAGCATGCCAGACTGTGGGTTTTTTTCTTCCTAGCTTCTACTAACATTTTAGACCAGATTGTTCTTATGATAGGGAACTGTTAGCACACTCTAGGAGTTCTAATAGTATTCTTGGCTTCTATCCAGAAAACCTCAGAGTACTACCCCTTCCCTGGTTAGAACAGCCAAAAACTGTCTTCACAAGTGAAATATCCTCACCAACATGACCACCCAAACATGAACTCAACAAGGACATCAATGAACATGCCAAACTGCGTAGGAAAAAAGCCCATGAGGCTTCAACCGTACACAAAGAACTACAGCAACTGAGTAAAGCTGGGAGCAGGAGGCGGCCTCCCCAGGGAAGACCACACCCAATGGTTGTCCAGTGCCAAATGGTCAGCCCAGAAAACACACATGCAAGTTAACATTATATCGACTGAGCAGGTTATGTGTAGGAACATATATGTACATACAAATACATATAGACACATACATGTGTACATACACACACACTATATATATATGTGCTTGTAACAAGTAATGAAAAAAGAAGTCATAAATTTGAAGGAGTGGGGAGAGGTATGTGGAAGGGTTTGGAGGGAGTAAAAAGAAATATTGTGATTAAATTACAATCTCAAAACTAAGAGAAAACAAGAAGAAATACTGTACTGAACTCTAATGATAAGCCTATCGGCAATAAATCAGATTACTACTTTCAAATGACTATGGTCTCATTTGAAAAGAAAAGTCAGGCAGTGGTACACAAATTTTTAATCCCAACACTCCGGAGGCAGAGGGAGGCAAATCGAGTTTGAGTCCAGCATGAGACTATACAGCGAGCAGTGAGAACCTATCTGAAAGCAAAACAAGTTAATTTTTTAAACGATTTAAATGAATGAGAATGCCCCCCACAAGCTCCAGTATTTACATACTTGGTCCCCTATTGGTAGCAACATTTGGGAACTCTGTCCCTGGTGAGCTGAGACACAGATGACTGCTAGTTCTCTTTCTCTGTTTCCTGCTTACAGTGCAAGATGTGAGCTCTCAGTTGCCATGCCTGCCACCTGCTGCCAAACTGTCCCTCATGGGGTGGGGTGGGTGGTGGGTGGGTAGGTAGGGGTGTGTGTGTATGTGTCCACCATCACCACTCTAGCCCCCTGGAACCATAAGAGAGAGAGAGAGAGAGAGAGACAGAGACAGAGACAGAGACAGAGAGAGAGACAGACAGAGAGAGAGAGAAAGAGAGAGACAGAGAGACAGAGAGACAGAGACAGAGAGACAGAGACAGAGAGACAGAGACAGAGAGACAGAGACAGAGAGACAGAGACAGAGAGACAGAGAGAGAGAGAGAGAGAGAGAGAGAGAGAGAGAGAGAGAGAGAGAGAGAGAGAGAGAGAGAGAGAGAGAGAGAGTATGTCCACCATCACCAACTCTAGCCCCCTGGAACCATAAGCTCAAACTCTCCTCCACGTTGCCTCAGTCATGGTGTTTTATCACAGCAACAGAAAAGTGACTAAAGTAACTAATACACTATTATTGCCAAATGTACTGGAAATGATTAGGACATTTTATATACAGTACCTACAAATTCCACAATTCTCGCAATGATACTGCTTCTTATCTTTATCAAACAGATGGCATATACCGCAGTAATATTCTCCAAACAATGTGCCACATTCTTCACAAGTCTGCTGGGCCTGAAAAGGACACAATAATTAAAAACTCCAGTAAATTTACCAAAACTATTTAAAATTCAGAATTCATATTTAATCATGTTTATCTTATTTTTACATTCTAATTCATCTTAAAACTTTAGAGAGAAGTAAGACAGGTGTCATAAAAGCTTACACGCTGGATTTTTTCACAGTTGATGCACTGCACTTCCTTTACTTGGAAGCGATCTAGCTGATGATCTTCATTGGTGTCATGACACAGCCGGCAAGTATAAAGCTTGTCACAACAAGGTGCCTAACACCCAGGGGAACAAAGGGAAGACAAGAAGACAAGTTAATTATAAAGAAAGAAAGTTCCTACCTCCTCCTCTGGATCAAGGTCAGAGATTACAACCAATGGGTCCATCCCGAGCATTCATTTCTTGGCACATTTGATACTAATAATCTTTCCCTTCAATATCTGTTTGATTCTAAACACAACTTTAAAACACAAACATTAAGACAGGCAGAAATCTCTACACAGAAAAATCAACCCACAACATCTGAATCTCATTCTCAGCCTACACAGTAGATAACACCTTCTTAGACACTGCCAGAAAAAAAAAAATCATTTACACACCTTAACATCTAAACACAAATGTTTTAACTTCACTAATATTTACTGATCATGATGCACACACCTAATATTGCACAGGATTCAATAAATGTAAAAAATGAGAGACAGACATTGTTTCTTTTTCGAGAGGGTCTATCTATTCAGTCCTGGCTGTCCTACAACTAAGTAGTACAGGCTGGCCATGATCAAATTACCCCTGCCTCCTAAATGCAAGGATTAAAACATGCATCTCCACACCCAGACTCACTGATTTTGAGAATGTTAAAAATTGTCAGTTGTCCACTGAAATCTGTTCCTCTCTTCCTGAGCAGATTACTCAATTATTCTACATTTGGATCCCACAGACGACCATATGCCTTAAAATATGTCAAAATAATACAACAGAAAAAAACTTGACTCTAAAATGACCAAGTAGAACAGAGATCTCTCTTTACCCATCTGGATAGCACTTTGGAATTGTTACATGGAAAGAAATGTATTCTTGATTATTTAAACCTCATTATTGTTAAGTATTTCATTGTAAGTGCTTAACTTTTATCCTGTTATTTCAAGAAATGCCAGGCTTGGGATGTAGATTATTGGTATAATACTTTCCTGGCACATGCAAGGTACTCATTTCAAGCCCTAATCCCAGAATTCAAAACAGAAAAACTCTTTTTTGAGGGGGACAGGGGTGGGGGAGTGAAATGATCAAAATGTATGAGATTGTCAAGAAAAAAAAATGCACACACAGAGTTGGAAAAAAAGAACTTCCCAGGCCAGTTGGCTAGCCTAATGTTTTCCAATGTACTGTTACTCTGAATATCTGCACATTCCTGACCGTTTCCCAACGCTGTTACTGAAGTTTATCTTTTGAGTGCTGTAACACTTTATTGACTTCTTTTTCTCCATTACTCTTGACTAAGTTTTAGTGATGAGTACATCGACAATAATCCTTCCAATAACCTAAGTTTTTTCACTTTAGATGGCCTTGTATCCCAACCCTCCTCTGCCACACAGTCTCATACCTAAGTGTGAACACAATGTTCAAAGAACTTTTGTTTACCGTGATCAATATCTCATATCAGAATTATTCATGTTTCTCTTTCATGAGTCTTGACTCCTTCCCCTCTTGAGAAAATGTCTGCCATATACTCAAGCTTGAACGACCAATTATTTTCAAATAAAAAAAATGTTCCATGAACAAAGCAACTAATTTACTTACAAGCCAAAGAACCTTTACTCAAGAAAAACAAAGTGCTTGCTAAGTTTTCCATTTGTCAAAATTATTAAAGATATGTACATGAGCACGAGCTAAGATTTGATGAATATTATTAATTTTAGTGCTTCACTAATGACATTTTTAAGTGCAACTGGCTCTGACTATGCGTATACTTACAGTGTACCTGATTACAATACAAAATTACTGTTTGATCCACATACAGAGACTAGTTTTAACCATTGCTTTCCACCATCAGTACAAATGTCAACACACTGGATACAGAATATCTACTATTCCACAAGGTAGTTTTTTAAGAGATTCTGCTGCTCCAGAGAAAGGACTATGCTAGATCTGTATCTCAATTCCAAGAATGAAACTCTTCAGTCACTAACTCCTTGTTTCAACTAACTCCTAGTGTTCCCTTGCTCATAACCTAGCTGTCTCCTCCCTTTCTCCAAACACCAGACAACTAAAATAGTAACAACACTACTTAAATCCACTCCTACCCACTGACATACATTGGAAATATCTAACTACAGTTGAAGGAAACCACCTTTTTTGTTTGCTTGTTTTTAATTCCAGGGCATTATTGTGCAACAGAGAAGACTATACTTCTGCATGCCTGTCCCCAAGCTTTTAAATGTTATACTCTGAGATTCCTGGAAATCCCCTTCATGATCTCCATGTGAGCTTTTAAAGACTATAATCAGGAAAACTCCAAGTTTTCTTCCCTTAAACACAGATACCATTATTAACAGAACTCGTTTTTTACACTAGTAGTAAAAATTTTACTAGAATTTATCACTAAACCATTTATTTATTTATTGTCTTCACATCTTCACTGTCAGGCGACTTCCTGTTCTTAATTTCTTGGTGTAATGATCAATAAAGATAAACGTCTTTGAATTTTCTGCACCTTTCTTGACACCTGAAATTACTGTTGCTTCATTAACAACTCAGAAAAAAAATTTTATTGACACCATTTCGTAGTTAACACTTTCATTCTTCTAGAGACGAAGCCTTAAGATCTAGCACAGTGATTCTCAATCTTCCCAATGCTTTGGTCCTTTAATATAGATCCTCATGTTGTGATAACCCAAAACCATAAAATTATTTTGTTGCCACTTCCTGTGATTTTGCTATTAAGAGAACCAGTGATCTAGATGATCGTTTTACAACTTCATCTTTAAAGCTCTAACACCTCTTCCTTGCTTGCTACTAATCTCACCATTAAAATAGGAGTAATCAAAAGAAAACATTCACCCACAAGATCTATCAACCTTCTTGAGAATATGCTTTATCTTCTAGATAAAATTAGACAGAAACTAGAATCACTTGGGAAGAGTGAACATCAACTCAAGATTAGCATCCCTCAGACTGGCCAGTTAGAACATCTGTGAGGCATTGTCAACAGGGGCATCCCTGGGCAGGTGATCCTGTGTTATATAAGAAAGGAGACTGATCGAGCCATGAAGTGCAAGCCAGTAGTAAGCAGCACTCCGCGGCCTCAGCTTCAATTCCGACCTCCAGGTTCCTGCCCTGCATGAGATCCTATCTTGGCTTACCTTATGAACTGTCACAAGAAGTGTAGGCAATAAACTCTGTACTCCCTAAGTAGTTTCTGGTGATGGTTATTACAGCAATACAGAAGCATACTACTGACTGCCTTGTCTTCTTTTACAAAGACTCTACAGTTAACCCAGGCTTGCAGTTAAGATTGGCTTCACTTTGACTATTCAAGAACAGTAGTCCAAGAGTGTTCCCTTTTCCTGCTGCATTAAAAAAGTCCTCTTTGATCACTTTCCCAGTGTGCAGGAACATACTGTAACACATCTTTCAGCAAAACAGCCACATTTTTGCTCTCCTTTGCAATAAAAATCCAAAAAGTCTGTTATTTCCAGTATCCACTCCAATAAAGCTTTGCCCTGGATCCTTTCACTGACACTTCTCTTGTCAAGATCAACAGTGACCTTCTCCTGCCAAGTCAAAGGTCAAATGTCTCTCCTTACTCCTTGTCTTACTTGAACAGTTGCACTTGATCACGTAGATGACTTGTTCCTTCAAACACCTGAGTTGGCCTCTCCTATTTAAGGGAGAGGGAGAGGGGAAAGAGCAATGCTTGACACTCAGGGAAAAGCAGCTGAGGTGCCATGAAACACAAATTGGGCTGTCCAATTTCTTTGCAGGGGCCAGGGAAGAGCAAGATGTTAAATTCAGTTCCATTATCTCACTTTGAAACCGTGAAAGTTATCTCAGTAGAAACGTAATCAGAAGAAGAGTACTCAACTGATTACACATTTAATAACTGACCAGTCTGAAAGAATCTCATCCAAAGCAATGAAACAAAGTTCGCCCAACTGTGGCCTACCAAAAGGGTCTGAGTTGTCTTACAGACCTAAACTCATCACTTAATCGAGGTCATTGACCAGCAGCGCTAACTGGTAAAGTGAAATGACAAAAAAGATGAGGAAGACTGATAGTTGTAATTAACATTTACTACCCACTTCTGGGGATACACCTCCTAAATAGTACATGTGCACTCTAGAATGCAATCATCATATTGTTAATAAAAGAGAGACTTTCCCCTTGGCAATGGAGATAGAACCTACAGACTCTCTGGTGAGGTCAGTACTCTAGCAATGGTTGATAGACAGATCCCCATTTCTTTTCCTTCTTGGCAATGGCACTTCCAGGTTGGCATTCCTTCTGCCTCAGCTTCACAAATACACGTTTTTTACCACTAAGACCAGTCATGACAAAAGGAACTTCTAAAATTGCCATTTTATATGCAAGCCATTTAAAAAGCAGCTTGCTCAAAATTGCAGGGCAAATTGGGGGCAGAACTAAGGTATGGGGGAAAAGCTACAGGATTCCAACAGTCAAGTTTCTTTTCATTGGGAGGAGACTTCCGATGGGTGGCACCAGGGCCTCCAGCATTTTAAGCACAAGTTCTACAGCTGAGTTACAGCCCCAGTCAAGTATCAGGTTTTCTCAACAAAATACTCACACTGCTTCAAAAAAAAAAATCAAGAAACTCTTAATTGTGCGGGGGGGGGTGCACTTTTAAAAACTCTAGAGGACTAGAACGTTTCTCAAGCTGCAAAAATAATTGCATTTATGTACTAGGTACGTCTCCAAAATCCAACTTAATGGCGATTACACAACTGTCTCTCATACCACACTTTTATATTTTCTCCTTAACAACAAAATGAAGCTGACCAGCTATCCCACGTACTTACTACACGAGCAGGAATCACATTCTGATTTTCCCCTGGCTTATCCTCCTTTCGTTACCATCGTACACATCCGACAGTGGTCCTGGACAGGCCTGACACTGCCTCTTTCTACTGTCAACCGCCAATGACGAATAAACCCACCGGGTAAGTGACGCTGTGGCAAGGCCCGGCTCTCTACAGACAACAAGAACTTTGCAAAGTACAAAGGCTGAGAGCTACCGTCGAGCTCAAGCTCGCCTCGCCAAAAACGTTCCCTGCAAGGGGCAACCCAACTCCAGGTGCAGAAGGTATCTCAACTAGCAGCTCGGCCTGAAACTTCCGCCCAAGACTAAACCGCCCAGGCCCACCTGCCCCAGCCCAAGCCGGCGGCATCTTCTCAGGAAGCGCCCTTTCAAGTCGTCACCTTGAGGAGACAGCCTCGGTCATAGTGCTCGCAGCCCCGCCGCCCTCGCTCCGGGCTGCGGACGCCATCTTCCGTCGCCGCCATCTCCTCCACCTCCCCTCACAATCCACAGGACCTTCCCCCAGCTTGGAAGCCACGCCTCAGAGACGCAGGGCCGGCCAGACACCCCGCCTCCTCGCCGCGGCGGCCACCGGGCACTATGGCGCCTGCTCACGTGATCCGGGGCGGCCGGATGTCCGGTTCCTGATGGAAGGGGCGGAAGCGGACTGAGACGCTAAGTCCGTCGTCGACGTTAGTCGGTGTCTTCGCTGCTAACGGTAATAACTCTTAGGTTGGCTCCTCTTTCCCCCCTGCATCGCTGCCAGCCCCGATCTCGGGGCGAAGGGGACCGCGGCGACGCCGGGTGGGCCCTGCTGCAGGCCGCCCTCGGCCACCGGGCGCCTGCGAGGAGAGGCCCCGCCCCCGGCCCGCGACCGCCTCCTGAAAGGGGCGGAGCTCGGGGGCAGCGCGCGCAGCTCCTCGAGCTGGCGGTCGCCTTCCTTCCTTTGCCGTCTCGCTTTGCAGGTCCCCAGCTAAGACGTGAGGGGGAAGTAGGCACGCCGGGACATGCCCCAGTGGAACCCGCAGATGGGTAGTGAGAAAGAAAAAACAAAAACACTGCATTCATTGAGATCACAATTTGGAGGGACACTTGAAGGATAATCGTGTGTGGTGTGCCCCTGGGGGAAAGGGGACCCTCCAGCTGAAAGTTGTAGTGTGCCAGCGAGAGTTAGGGTGCACAGACCTGTGGCAGGGAAAAACCAGGTCCCTGGTGTCTTGTGTAAGGACACAAGAGAAATAACCAAGCCTACAAAGTTAGAATCTCAGACCTCAAGGTGCATAACTAAAGGTCCTCTCTTACAAAGTTACCGAGACCTTAGAGAATTTTAGCAGCAGAACTTCAGAAGTTGGGGGCTGGGAAATTGCCTTTGACTTTAGCCCTAAAGTTACTGACTCATTTTAATTCTCTTACAGTTTTGTTATGAGTTGCTAAGATCATGGTGAAATGTTGCTCGGCCATTGGATGTGCGTCTCGCTGTTTGCCAAACTCCAAGTTAAAAGGACTGACATTTCATGTGTAAGACTTCGCTGTGCTCAGGCCAATACATTGAACTTTTACTGAAATGAACGATTCTATCTAAGTCTGCAGTTTCAGGCATTAGTTCCCAAGTCCTTTTAAAATAGCTATGTGCAAGTTTTAGGTGCCAAGGAATCAGAGGAGATTAACACCACCACCAAAAATAAAATACCCACAAGTTGACAGACTCGCCTTTGCTAATATTACTTGCATTGTAACTATTAAGTTCACTATTGTTTGCTTGTATTTACAGTGTAAATTAGAGGTCTTTGTTAAAATACACATCCCTTCTATTTAGAAACAGGGGCTTAAGTGTTCACTATAAATTATTTAGCTGCGTTGCAGATAAAGCCTGAGGATTCTGCTTTAGTGTTTTAGCCATTCCTCTGACACCCATGGGAAGGGACTAATAGGATTTAATAAATGTGCTAAGGATTTTACAGCTTTTGTGTGAAGAACACTTGTCTTAGGGAAAGATCTAGTTACTTTGCTAGACATGGAAAAAAAAGTATGTATACACTACCTTATGAAAAAAAATGTTTTGAACTTGCTTGAAAATTTTAAAACTATGATTATTGACCCGCATATCTTCAGAATTCTAGACTCCACAGGCTTTCATAGAGCATCTGTAGGCCTGCTATATGTTCGATGCTATCCAAAAGTGAAAGAACAAGAGGCCCCATTCATTCAGGATAAAATCTGGCTGTCATCTCAGAAAGGGAAACGCCAGTGGTACTCTTTAACATCTGTAGATATGGGAAAACCTTTAATTGCAGATCTTTCTACAAGGTGCTAAATGTCCATTGACAAAAGTCCATATGATACGATAAATTAGAGGTCATATGTCTGAAAAATGGTTGGAAGAAAAATACAGACATTAAAACTGAGTTATGAGGTAAACAGGATGTCTCAGTGGGTAAAGGCTAAGTTCAACAACCAGGGCCCACCTGATGGGAAGAGAGAACAAACTCCCACAAATTACCCTCTAATCTATACTGTGCATACTGTGGGGTACACATATGCACACATGCAAATAAAAATGTACTTTTTAAATTAATTTGTTATGTAAGCAGGAGTCATGATTTCCTAAATATTTCAGTTCAAATACATTTCAACAGTATTTAAATTTCCTTCCTAGATTCCCCACAGATGAAAACATCAAACGAAAATGGGTATTAGCAATGAAAAGACTAGATGTAAACGCTGCAGGCATTTGGGAGCCTAAAAAGGGAGATGTGCTGTGCTCCAGGCACTTCAAGAAGACAGATTTTGACAGAAGCACTCCAAATACTAAACTGAAACCTGGAGTCATCCCTTCTGTCTTTGAGGCCCCGTATCACCTACAGGTTTGTTTACGGGCTCCTGCTCGCTGTGAGCACCCACCTCCTGGGACAGTTTTGAAGACTTCAGCACTCATGGGTTTGTCTGTGGTACTGTCTTCATCTGAAGTGCATTCTGTGTGTTTTCATAGACTGTAGCTTCTGCTTTTGTGATGCTTTAGCCAATGACATGGCCCGCAGCCACCTGTAAACATTGGTACATGACTAGGGTTTAGGTAAGTGGACTGGTGGAAGGAATCGTCTTAACTCAGAACCAGCTTCTTAAAAATCAGAGAAGGTTGAGCTGAGGTTCAGGTGGATAGTCCTTAAGAGCTCAAGAGTGGAGTGGGGGGCATGGGCTTTAATCCCAGCACTTGAGAGGCAGAGGCAGGCAGGTCTCTGAGTTCAAGGCCAGCCTGGGCTACAAAGCAAGTTCCAGGAGTACACAGAGAAACCCTGTCTCAAAAAAACCTCAAGAGCAAACTGCAATCAGGATGAAAGTATGGTTCCAGGTGAAGTCACAGATGTAAACTCTAAAGCTTAGATATGAACGGAAGTCAAAAAAACACAGGGAAAAAAAGGATACGTGAAAAAGAAGAGAGAGATGAGGTTACGAAAGGAAAACAGAAGGTTGGATAGTAAGCCTAGTTGAATTCCATTCTTTCTCAGTAGTGCTGTGAGTTGTCCACTTCGCCCTTGATGTCTCTCTTAATAAATCTGAGAATGCTTTGTCTTCCAGAAATGTGAGCCAAGATTGTTTCTTGTAACTTATGTAGTCAGGTCCTCTTCTGTCTTCTTTTTCTCAGCTGGTAGGGAGTATCCTCTTTGATTTTCACTCCTCTTCATATTTTTTGGGAAATTTCATGTTTATAGATGACCCCTGGAGTTGCTTGAGGGATGCTCTCTTAAAGTAAACAGAAGGAAATGTACTGACTTCTAGAGCAGTTTCCATGAAAAGAAGTGTGGTGTTTTACTACACACAGTTACAAAGGAACCCAACTGTAAGAACGGGCACAATATCTCAATGGTTTTTATTAACTGTTCCCAACAGGAGAGGAGAGAAAAACTTCATTGCAGAAAAAACTTCATTCTCAAAACCCTTCCAGTCACTAATCACAGTCACCAGCTTGTTGGTGCCTCGTGCATTGAAGAATTCCAACCCCAGTTCATTTTTGTAAGTAGAATTATTTGCTGAGCTAATTGCTGTTAATTGTTTTAAGGTGAATATGGTCTCTCCACTAGGATCAAATATGTCAGAGTCATAGCAAAAAACAGAATGTACACTTGTCAGGGAGGGTTCTTTAATATATAGTTTTCAAACAAGCTTGCTTCCCAGGGTCATTGTAATTGGAACATATGAGGAGCAATATACAAGCAGTTACTCTTTTGGTTACATACTTAGTTTGAAGAATGCTTTCACAAGGATGATTCTACCAATAAAATAATTCTTCCCTTTATGTATTATACTTTCTCCATGGAAATATGTAATTAAAAAAATAGCTAGCCAGGCGTAGGTAGCACACACCTTTAATCCCAGCATTTAGGAGGCAGAGGCAGGAGGATCTCTGTGAGTTTGAGGCCAGCCTGGTCTACCAAGCAAGTTCCAGGACAGGCTCCAAAGACAATACAGAGAAACCCTGTCTCAAAAAAAAAAAAAACAAATAAATAAGCCATATCTTTAGGTTTCAGTGAAAGGCAGTCACACACATTAGAGCATTCAGGCTTGCACTTAACCTATTCACAAATCTGTTCCTATAAATGCCAGGCATTGAGTAGAAACTTTTTCTACAGCTTTGTAATAACTTTAAAATCGGGTACTATTAGTCTACTCACTTTGTTATTTATCAAAGTTATTTTGGCTGTTATCAATTCTTTGCATTTTTATATGAATTTAAAATCCCTTTGTAAAATTCTACCAAAAGCCATGCAGGAATTTTCACTAGTCTGCTGTTGCCTCTGTAGATACCACAGGGAGAATAGAGAGTCAGGGTAGTAAGAGGTCTCGCAGGAATGAACCTGAGTGTTCCCATTAACCTCTCAGCGCTGTTCCATAGCATTCAGCACCTGGTGTTTTGCTTTGTCACATTAATATTAATATTTGCCCTTAATATTTTCTGCGATTGCTTGATGCTCTAAATGCTACCATTTTGTTTGCTCCAGAAGATGGAAATATAATTTATGTTGATCTTATATCTGACAAACTTGCTGAACCCAAATATTAATTATAACAGGGTTAGGGTTTTTGTTTTGTTTTGAGGGCACCAGATTTTCTGCACAGATTATCATGTTCCCTGTGGTTAAGGACAGTTTTAATTCTTCCTTTCTGGTATAAATGTTTTATGTTCCGTTGCTTTTTCTTGCTTTACTGAACTGCTTGAGCCTACAGGACTGTGATTAAGAAGTGATGAGAGCCAGTATCCAGGCAGTCCCATCTCCTAACATGATTCTTCTTTTTTAGGTTAATGTGGTAAGTTATGTCGGCTGACTTCTAAAGTGCTTAACTAACCCTTTACTCCAGGATGACCCTTACTCCATAATGCATCATTGGTTTTGTGTATTTTGTATACAGCTTGTGAATTTATCATTTAATCGTTCCTTGGATGTTCAAGAGGGATATTTAGTCTGTAGGGCTCCCCTCTTCCTCTTCTGTAATGTTTCACTTGTCTGAATTCAAGATCAGAATATTATTAACCTTTCAAAAAAGTGAGAAAATCTACCAACTTTTCCAGCTTACTGGAAAAGGAATTTAGCAGAATGATAAATTTTTTTAGACCTAAGTGCCAGACTTGTCTAGTGAAGCATTGTGGACGTTAGGGGGTTGTTTTGTTTGCATGTGGAAGAAAATAATAATAGCTTCTTTCTTCCCCGACGTTTGTCCATTTCATCACAGCAACAGCATTCATTAGGTTAAGGTATTTGATAATACCTCCTTACTGACCCTTTTGTAGACTCTTGTCGCGGGCGCTCTCTCACTGCCGACATTTGTCTCTGTCTCGCACATTGCTGATTAGTCAGTCTGAAGGTTTAACTGTTTTCTTCATCTTGTCATAGAACTCAACTTTTGTTCATTTTCTTTATACTTCCCTAGTTTCTGTTCATCGATTATACTTATTTCAGTAAATTGTTCTTGTCTTTTTCTAGTAATGTGAAAGCTGCTGTCATTGTTAAGATTTGTATCTTTCTAGTCTAGGCATTCAGTGATATTAATTTCTTCCTAAGTATTACATTCCACAATAAGTTATGTTTTCATTGTCTTTCATATTTTCAGTTTCTGTTTCAGTTTGTTCTTTAACCCATGGGTTATTTAGAAGTGTGTCATTTGGGGTAGGGGAGATGGCCCAGTGAATATAAATGTAGTAATTGTATCTTCACAGGCAGACACAGACTTCCCAAAGCAAGCTGGCTGGCAAGATTAGCCACATCGACTTGCTCTGCATTTGATTGAGAATCCTTACCTCAGTGAATGAGACCACCAGTAGATGAGTCTGGATATCAACCTCAACCTCAGGCTTCCACATGCACACACACATAAAAGTAGAGGAGAAAAAATGATCTCCTTGGTTTCCCTGATGTTTTCCTTAATCTATCCACTCCTGTATACCAAGCTCTGCCTGGAGCCCTACAAAGTCTTCCAAGGCTAAGCTGGGGCAAGTACAGGCCTCACACCTCTATTTCCCTTCGTCACGAAGCTGCCTCTCCTATGTAGTACCCATTACCCTCAAGTACTGTTTAGGTCTCTGTGACACACATTGGTTCATGTGTTGTCGGTCCAGTCTTTTACTTCATCTTGGCTAGACACAAAAGTCCTCTCCAGTAATTTTAATTTTAAGTAACTTTACAAAATTAGTTTATAGTATCTCTCTATGTCAGTGTTATTTTCCTTGTTTTCAAATGAACAGGAAAAAGTATATTGTCGAATACTTAAGCATAGCCAAGTAAATATTGATGGGAATTAAATTATCTTTTTTAAATTCCAAGACTGGCGTCCTCTCCAGTCCCCAGCACTCAGCCTAAACACCCACTCCAGTGTTTCTTTCCTGGTATAAAGTAAACTGTTCATTAAAATGAAGGAAATATTTACTGTGCCACACACCATCACTAAATCCTGGAGCTGGGAATGTAGCTCAGTTTATAGATTCCTTTCCTAACAGTCTCGAAGCCCAAGGTTTGATCTCCAGCACTGCAAAAAATGGCACTGGGAAATGCATGCATTCCTTAGATGGAGGTAGGAGAATCAGAAGTTCAAAGTAATCCTCAGCTACATGGCAAGTTCAAGACCAGCCTCAGATACATGAGCCCCTGTGTGAAAAACTAAATAAGAATAACTAGATACCGGCGCCACAGTTAAGGAGTGGCAGCTGTGTAGCTTAGCAAGTGCCATGGTGGCCGCTGCAGTCGTCTGCAGTGCTGGTCTTCCAGGGCAGGAGCCCAATGAGAAGGGCTTCTCACCAGCAGTGTTCCATGCTCCTCACATAAGCTGAGCCTCCGAAGGAAGAGAGGCTTAGGCACCCTACTACTGCTTCCGCTTCCTATCCCCTTCTTGTGTTCTTTAAGCCTCTAACCGTCTCCTCTCCATACCGCAAGTGAAGAAATAGCTGAAACTTAGTGCTAAGCTTGTCTAACCACTTATCTTTCTTATCTGAAAACCTGTTTATGTTACAGGAACATAGCTACAGCGTTATGGACAGTCCAAAGAAACTTAAGCATAAATTAGATCATGTGATCATCGAGCTAGAGAATACCAAGGAAAGTCTACGGAATGTTTTGGACCGAGAAAAACACTTTCAGAAATCACTGAGGAAGACAATCAGGGAACTAAAGGATGAATGTCTCATCAGCCAAGAAACAGCCAGCAAACTGGATGCCTTCTGTTGGGAGTGCTGTGAAAACACAGAATGAGGCTGGATCTGTGAAGTAATTTCTCATATAGTCCATCTGCAACTGACATCGATGATGCTTCCTAGAAGACCCTCACTCCATCACCAAATCCTGTCAGCACTCACAGCACTTTGGATGCCTAGCAGCATTACACATTATCCCTGCTAGCCGGAAACTTACTGAAGATGTGTAGATTGTGTTGTGGTTATGCTTTTGTATGACTTGTGATAATTATACAGACCTAAACTAGTGCTGGGTCACTATTGTAAGACGGTTAAATCTCAAAAAAGTAAGGAAATATATCAAGATGGCCTCATTGGTTATAGCAATCAGAACATCAGAATTTTAACTTTGACTGCATTTATGTGTATATGCTTTATAGTGATTTTAATTTTAAATATTTTACTATAAAGCAGAATTTGTTTACAGCACACATTCGTCTTGCATCCAACCCAAGGTGCTTTCGTTATTAATCATGCTAAAGAGTATTGTTCTTAATAAGGCACTCCATGGCACTGGCCCAGAGAATAGCCCACAGAAAAGATTTATTGGCTTTTAAGAGCCAATTAGAGGAGACTCCTGACAGGCTGACAGTTTTCTGGTACTACATCATTGCTCCTCACAAGGACTAGTCAGGATAGCTTCAAACACCACAGGCTGAAAGCGCATGTTTGACTCCAGTGAGCAGTTGTTACTGCACAAGGACGTGTCCTCCCTGCTGTTGTTTTCATTCAGCTCTTCCATGCACAGGGCTGCCACCAGCTGAAGATTTGCAGTGCTCTTTTGTGGTTTTTAGGAAGGTGATATTACTGACACTTTGAAAACTATAAAACATAAGGAAAGCTATTTCAAATGTGGGGGTCTTGCAGTGGAAACAAACAGAACTGATGACTGTCCAGTGACGGTACAGAAAAAGAGCATGCAGAAGAGCTGTCTGGAAACTTCTTGCAAAATACACAAAAGAAGAGCCTTAGCTAATCACTGATTGAGCCCAGTGTTAGGAATTTTACTTCTCTCAATTCCTTACCAAAAAACCTGCAGTTAAGAATCACAAGTACTGTACATTAAAATAAAAAATATTAGCCAGAGTCCTACTACATATTAGGCACAAGTCTGAGGATGAACTTATTCGGAGTCTTTAGAATGTGTGCGGCAATTGTTTCATTGTGTTAAGGAATCACATCCAGTTTTCATTTATTTGTTCCTTTTAACTTCATTTGTTTTATGTTAGTACCATAAGGATATGGTCAGTTGAAGTTTGTTGTTGTTGTTGTTGTATTTAAGATATTGTATTTTCATATAGGACTTTAAATCTTCCCTCTAGAAGAGATTTTTTTTCCCAATATCTGAAAGATAATTATTGTGCTAAGATTGAAATTACTGAGGTTCTTCTATTACCCTCAAGTGTTTGGGGTTTGGTTTGGTTGGTTGGTTGTTGTTTTTTGTCTGCCTGTTATTTATTTTCCTTGTTTATTTTTTAAGTCACAGTGGGTACTCTAACGAGAAGTGTGGGTAGAATCTAAATCCTCAGCCTGTATGGGACATGTATATTTAAGTTGGTGACTGGGCAGTGGCAAAAAGGAAAAGCGCAGCAGTGTCCAGACTTCCCCAACCCTGGCTGCCTGCAATAAAGCAGGCCTGGAGGACTCTCAAGAGGAAGGTTCCAGTCTCTGCCCCATTACAGTTGCACAGTCACTTTGGCTGCTGTGTCCTGTGACCTCAGTCTTTGTCCTCTCTTTCACTGGGTCTGTATCACTGAGACATTGGTAACTGGCTGGGATATCAGTAAGGACCCAGAGCCTCGCATGTGCTCTTTACTCTTGGAGAAATAGTTATCAGTAGAAATCAGACTTAAAGGTCCCTACCACCTGCCACTTAAAACAAATGCCTGAACACATGCCCTACCTCAGTCCTCTGCCCAGAGGTTGTAGCCCAGGTCTTCGGGGAAAGAACTGCTGTGTATAAAGAAAGCTAAATCGTGACCTATCTGCAAGTCCTCAAGCAGCCTAGGCTGGCCTCAGGGCTCTAGTTTCTAAACAAGGACTGGCCTCTAGCCCCTGGAACACACTTGAGTTCCAAAGAAGAGCTAAGTGTGGTATCTTCTCCATTCAAGTTTAAATTTGTGGAAATAGACTTTGTTGCTAAAGGTACCTATAATTATGCAAGTCTTTTAATTTGAAAAAAAGGTGAAAATACTAAATATATACTTAGTTTTAGTTTTTAAAAGTAAAATTCTGACAAGTAGTTGAAGAATGGAAGCTATTTATTTGAAAAATAAAAATTTTGACATGAAAGAAAACAAAAATTGTCTAGTAGTGTTGTGTTTTTGCGCCTTGATTCAATAAAATGGTCAGGGAAAGGAAAATGAAAACCACATATGTAAACAGAGGTCTTGCTTTCATCTGTGTCTTCCATCAGCCCTTAGTATGAACTGGGCTGCTTTCAGTAATCTCTTAAAGCTGCAGCTCTTCATGGTCCCCTGGCAAGTGGAGAAGAACAGAGCAGTATTGCTGGGTGTGAAATACACTGCCTTTGAACCCAGAAGACTCCCAGGCATTCCTAACTCAGCAAAGCATGCAAGATAGAATGGTTTGTCTTTTACTTCGGGGAGATGTACTGGCATGCCCCAAATTACTGTGTCTCCTGAGTGTTACAGATTTTTTGCCCCACCCTTTACAACACATGTGTTTCATGGATGCCCTGAAGAGAGTGTGCTAGACACTTATAAAAGATTTAATTATGTGTTTATGAGAAAAGGTGTGCACATGAATGCATGTGTCTGTAGAGTCCAGAAGAGGATGTAGAATCCCCAAAACTTGAGCTAGCTGCCTGATGTAGGTGTTGGGACCCAAACCCAGGTCCTCTACAAGAGCACTATGTGCTCCTATCCACTGAGCCACATCACCTTTCTTTTAAAGACCTTCCAGAGGATGTAGCCCATTCTGGCCTAGAACATGTGACCCTCGTACTATGGTCACAGGCGTGCACTAACATGGTAGGTTTACATTTGTCTCATTGGATTAACCTCTAAATTTTCCAGGAGCCAGAGTGAGTGACGGATTAAATGGAGGCATGATGAGAGTCAAAGTGATTTGCACTGAATACCTCCCATTTTTCTGGGAATCTGAAATGTCTAGTCTGCGATGGAACGCTGGATACTTGAATCCACTTCCCTGCTACGCAGGATTTCCTACATTATTGTCACAGTTTCATTCCACCGGAACCTCGGGTCATGCTTGACTATACTGAGGAAGGAATCTTGCAAGTTTCTAGTGTCCTCTCAAGTTCCGGTCATGTGTATTTTCTCCTTGCTTGTTTTGAGTTTGTTTCCTTTCCTGTAATAGCCACAAGGACAACTATATGCTGAGCTCTGTGAATCTTTCTATCAAGTCATCAGATCCAGGGTTACCCTTGGAGCCTTCAACCCAGATGTTCCTTCAGAATTGTCTGTCAGTCTGGGTAAATAAAGCTGGAATAATTGACAATCCATAACACTATTCACAGTCATAATGTGTTCTCTACCCCCAGCATTACTATTCAGCTGGTCTCTTTTTTTTAAATGTCTTTGATCCTGTAATGTCTTTAAAATGTTCTCTCTATACTTAAGTATATGTGTAATCTTTCATGTTCATGAAGTTCAACCATGTACCTAGAAATCTGTCCAAACACCTTTTCTTTTCATTATATAGCTCCTTTCGTATTCCCTGTCCAGGACAATTTCACTGGTTTAAGCCAATTTTTTTGCATTTATGGGGGAGGAGCTATATATGTGTATGGAAATACCCATGCCACAAAATGCATGTAGAAACTTTTGAGAGTTAGGATTTTGGTTGGTTGGTTGATTTGTTTTTTCTTTCCACATAGGTTCTAGGGATTAAACTCAAGCTGTCATGCATGGTCACAGGCATTCTTACCCTCTGAGTCACAAGCCCTTATTTCTTAACTTGATTTCCTGTGTCCTAGTGATAACCAGAGAAGTCCTACCTAAACTTCATACATCAATTACAATAAATGTCAGTGGCCTAAAAGCGAGTGCAGTGGTGTGGAATATTTAACCACAATGTGTGGAACGAAACTGTAACAAGCTTCACTCAAGCAGCGTTCGTGTTTTAAATGTGCTCAAGAGGGGCATTGGGCCCGACTTGCTCTAATCCCCATGTGCCACTCAAACTGTGTCTAAAATGCCAGGAAGAAGGCCGCTGGTCAGTGGACTGTCCCCATGCCCGTCGTGGCAAGAGGATGTCAGACACGGACCACCCTCTAGACCTGGCCATGGACGATGATGAGGAGTGAAGGGGCACGGGCTCTTTTGACCTGGCCACTGTCATCTCTGACAGGGAGCCCCGGGTAGGCATTAAGGTATCAGGGTGAGCCATCTCTTTTCTCTTGGACACTGGTGCCACACACTCAGTCCTGAGGGAGTTCTGGGGGCCCACCTCTCCATATCGTTTCCCTATTGTCAGGGTAGGGGGCAGCCTTACTTAACCTCCTCAGACCCCACCACTCAATTGCATTTTCGGTGGAATTCCCCTCACTCATTCATTTCTGGTTACACCAACCTGTCCTGTGCCCTTACTGGGAAGGGGTCTTTTAGCCAAGGTAGGAGCTTCTATTTCTATTGCTCCCCCCATTCGCCTAACTCCAGACTCACCAGCGGTTCCTCTCCTCCTCCTCCTCCTAGCCACTCACCCTACTGGTTCCAATATGTCATTTCCTCTGCCAGCCTTTCAGGTGGATCCCCAGGTCTGGGACACCCAAACCCCTCTGTGGCTAAACACCATTCCCCCATTGTCATTCAGCTGCAGGACCCGTTGAGGTACATCACTCAGGTCCAGTACCCACTCAGTCTCCAGAGCCTTAGGAGACTTAAACCTACCATCTCTGACCTCCTAAGGAAAAGTTACTTCATCCTACAGCCTCTCCCTTTAACACCCCTATACTGACAGTTAAAAAACCTAATGGGTCCTAATGAGCCTGGTTCAAGACCTCCAGCTCATTAATTCTACAGGTTCCCCTCCATCCTGTGGTTCCTAACCTTACACACTCCTCTCCACTATCCCCTCATTTCTCAGTTTTGGATCTTAAGGACGCCTTTTCTCTATCCCTCTCAACATTCAGTCTCAAAATATCTTTGCTTTCACCTGGACTGATCCTGACACTCACGCCTCCACACAGCTCACCTGGATGCTCCTACCTCAGAGATTCTGGGACAGCCCACATCTATTTGGCCAGGTCCTGACTTCTGACCTGCTCTCTCTGTCTCTCCCCAAATCTAAATTCATACAATATGTAGATGTTACTTTATTTTGCAGCTCATCCTTAGAAGTTAGCCAGACTGACACCTCTGCTCTTCCAAATTTCATGTCCAGCAGGGCTTATAGAGTCTCACTTCCAAGGTCCAACTGTCCACTCCTCAGGTCACCTACTTGGAACTAACCATCATCCCAACTCACAAAGCTATTACCTTAGGAAACACCTAAGCTAGTCTCTTGCAGTTCCTTCTAGTAAAAAGCAAATTAATCATTTCTAGGAATAGCTGACTTCTTATACCCCTGGACCCCCTCCTACTCTCTCCTTGCTCATCCCCTATATGAGGCAGCTCTTGGCTCTCCATATGAAGCCCTCCTTAACCCTGTTGCTAAGCCCTTTCAGAAACTCACAGGCTCTTCTCCAGGTGCTAGCCCTTCATCTTCCAGACCTAACTCATCCTTTCTCCACTATGTAACAGAAAAGGAGGGATACACCCTTGAAGTTCTAGGTCACTAACTCGTCCTTTCTCCCTCTATGTAACAGAAAAGGAGGGACACACCCTTGGAGCTCTAGACCACCAGTTAGGATCTTCCTTTGCACCGTAGTGTATCTGTCGAAGAAACTAGACCTAACTGCCCAAGGGTGAGCGCCCTGTATACTCGCTTTACCAGCTGCTGAGCTCCTCATTCATGAGTCAAACAAGCTAACCTTTGGGTCACCCATCACTGTCTTCTCCCACCACAACCTGTCTCATCTCCTAACTTATAAAAGCTTACAAACTCTGCCTCCTTCCGGAGTTCTTTCTCTCCAGGTGGCGCTGGTAGAAGATGCCTCGTTTATTTTCCAATCCTGCCCATCCCCCAATATCTCAAACCTTCTACCTCAGCCTAACACTATTCCCCATCTCATTCCTGCATTGAAACCCTGCTCCATCCTTCACACGTACAAGAGGGCACACTACCTCAGGCCACCTATACCTGGTACACAGAGGGCAGCTCCTTTTTACATAAGGGGACCCGTAGAGCAGGCTATGGCATTGTGTCCGATACCAGGGTGGTGGAGGCACAGGCACTCCCCGCCCATATACTAAGCAGCAGACTGAATTAATAGCCCATGCTTTCCAGTTAGCACAGGGATTGTCCTAAATGTTTACACAGACTCCAAATACGTCTTTTACATCCTCCTGTCCCATTCTGCTATCTGGAAAGAGTGTGGGCTACTTACTACAAAAGGAGGATCCATAACTAACTCAGGTCAAATTACGGCCATGCCAAAGGCCTCCCACCTGCCCAAAGCTATAGGGATTATTCACTGCCGGTCTCGTCAGACAGCTGGGCTGGTGAAGCAGCTGGGGCTGCAGCCCTCGGAGACCCAGATCTACCTCACCCACCACAGGGAGTTTACACACTACAACCCACATCCTCACAGTCACCTCCTGACCCTCGACAAATCCTGTCCTGTCTACACCAGCTCTTTCATCCTGACAATAAGGCTGTGTCTCATTTTGTCAAAGCTCACCTCCAGCCCACTTCTGAGGACTTACATATCTTAAAAGCTATCACTGCTTCTTGTAAAACCTGTCAGATGTCAGATCCTAACTCCAGGTATCATAGTCCCCCTTTTCCCACCCACCAGGTCAGGGGCTTTCTCCCAGGGACTGACTGGGAACTTCACTTTACCCATCTGCCCACAGCCAGACAAGTTAAATATTTCCTGGTATTAGTTAATACCTTCTTGGGGTGGGTAGAAGCATTTCCAACCACTAACAAAAGGCCCAGTCTCTGACATCCTTCTCAGGGAAATTATTCCCTGGTTTGGGATTCCAGCCTCTCTTCAGTCAGACAATGGTCCTGAGTTCACCTCTCAGATCTCCCAAACCCTGTCTAAAGCTCTCAACATCCCTTGGCATTTTCATATCCCATATCACCCCCAGTCTTCAGGAAAGGCAAAACAAACTAACCATTCTTCAAAAAAAATCTTGCTAAAATGTCACCGGAACTTCACCTTGACTGGGTAAAGCTCTTGCCTCTGGCTCTCTTCAGGCTTAGG